GTTGTGGGGCCTGAACTCTGGGCCTGGGCGCTGTCCCTCAGCTCTTCAGCTCAAGGCTAGCGCTCTACCACTCGAGCCTCAGCGCCACTTCCGGCTTTTTTCTTTTTGCTTATGTAGTGCTGAGGAATCGAACCCAGGGCCTCATGCATGCAAGGCAAGCGCTCTACCACTGAGCCACATTCCCAGCTCTTGAGTAAAATTTTTATTCAGGCCAGGCACTGGTGGCTCACACCTGTAATCCAAGCCACTCGTGATCTGAGGATCACAGCTGAAAGCCAGCCCAAGCAGGAAATTCTGTGATGCTCTCATTTCTAATGAACTTCTTAGAAAAAGCAGGAAGTTTGGGGTGCTGGTGGCTCACACCTGTAATCCTAGCTACTTAGGAAGCTGAGATCTGAGATCGTGGTTCAAAGCCAGCCTGGGCAGGAAAGTCCTTCAGACTCTTATCTCTAATAAACCACCAGAAAACTGGAAGTGGGGGTGTGGCTCAAGTGACAGAGCACTAGCCTTGAGCTGAAGAGCTGAGGGACAGCGCCAAGGCCCAGAGTTTAAGCCTCAGGACTGGCAAAACAAACAAACAAACATAAAGAAATTCTTATTCAGCTTCCTAGATTTCACTTCCTCTGTGGCATCCTTAGTTGATACTTATGTCTGCTTTCATTTAAATTTAGAACACATATTCATAGCTACTAAACCCAGAAGGTTTGACCCCACTAAAAGTAGGGCAACTAAAGCTTGTGTGTCTCCTGATATCATGCAGCATCAGAGGAGTTTAGCTCCCAATGAAGCCTCAGCTCTATTTATTATTTTACAGGAAGTACAGTAGACGAGGAGCAAGTTAAGAAAATACATCAGGATACATAAGGTGAGGTTGCTCATGCCTGTGATTCTATCTACTTGAGAGGCAGATTAAATTTAGCCCAACCAACAGAAATAGAAAGCATAAGTAAAAAGACTGTGGTTCAAGGGATAAACTTGAGACTCTAACTTAAAAATAATCAAAGCACTTAGAATTAGGCACCAGTGGCTCATGTCTGTAAAAATAAACAAGCTAAATTTATGTTTTAATTAGATTTCTTTGGTGTATGTAGTACTGGGGTTTGAACTCAGGGCCAATTTAGCCCCTCTGGTGTCTGAACTTCAAACATCCATGCTTACTAGGCAGTCAATCTAGTAATTGAGCCACATCTCTAGTCCTGTTTTTTTGCTAGATATTTTAGGGTCTCACAAACTTCTGACTGTGCTGGCCTTAATCCTTGATCCTTCCACTCTCAACCTTCTGAGTAGCAGTTGCAAAGATGCAGGGGCAAGCCAGTACTATGTGGTCTTCCTTTTAATTAGTTTTGCGCTAAGCCCTCTCTCCTCCAGAAGAAGAAAAACTCAGCTCTTCAGCTCAAGGCTAGTGCTGTGCTACCTGAACCACAGCGCTACTTCCAGTTTTCTGGTGATTAACTGGAGATGAGAGTCTCATGGATTTTCTTGCCCTGGCTGGCTTTGAACTGTGATCCTCAGATCTCAGCCTCCTGAGTAGCTAGAATTACAGGCGTGAGCCACAGGTGCCTCACAGCCTTTTTTTTGGGGGGGGGGTTGTTGGTCTTTTATAGCTCTTTCCTTCTTTTCCTCTTTTTACTATGCTCTTTGTTTTGTTTTTGTTTGTTTGTTTGTTTGGTTGGTTGTGGGGCCTGAACTCTGGGCCTGGGCACTGTCCCTCAGCTCTTCAGCTCAAGGCTAGCGCTCTATCACTTGAGCCACAGCCACACTTCCGGCTTTTTCTGCTTATGTAGTACTGAGGAATTGAACCCACGGCCTTATACATGCAAGGTAAGCACTCTACCACTGAGCCACCTTCTTGGCCCAGCTTTCTTTTCTTTCCTTCCTTTTTTTTTTTGTCGTTTATAGCTTTATTTTCTTTCTTTCCTTCCTTTCTTTTCTATTTTTTTCCCCCCAGAACTGAGGGCCAAACTCCAAACTTAGGGCTTTGCACTTGCCAGGAAAATGCTTTTATACTGAGCTAAATCTTATATTCCCAATACCCCCCCTCCTTTTTGTGTGTGTGTGTGTGTGCCAGTATGGGCGCTTGAAATAAACGGCTGGGTGCTGTTCTTTATCCTTTTCGTTCAAAGCTCATGTTCTACCACTGGAGTCACAGTCTCACGTCTGGCTTTTGACTGGCCGCTGGAGGGCAGAGGCAGTGGAGAAAAGCCACTTCCTTACACACCACCTGTCCCAATCATTCTTCGAGGGCACTAATCTGAAATTGTTGAAACTCTCAAAACAAGCTATGTGCTAAAAGTTCCTGCTGACCCTGGCCATATAAACACTGCTACAACCAGACTCTGGGCGACCTCTCTGATCCGGATCAGGTAGTTCGCCCCAGCGCATACCCCAATAAACTTTTCTTTCTTCACCTTTACCTCCTCCTGCATGATCTTTCCTCGCCTAAAACCTTACAGCTTTTTACTGGTTGTGGATCTCATAGATTTTCCTGCCTGGTCTGGCTACGTGAGTCGTGATCCTCAGATCTCAGCCTCCTTAGTAGCTAGGATTACTGCGTGAGTTACTTGTGCCCGGCTAAATTTCGTTTTTGAGATAAGGTCTAACTTTGCCCTGGCTGGTCTAGAACTCGAGATTTTCCTACCTCCGTCTTCAGAGTGGTGGGAAGTACATCGCCACACTCCACATAGGATTAGATATATTAAATGTTTGCCTGAGTTAGGACTTGTAAGTGGCAAAGCTGATTCTACTAACATAACCTTTGGCTGTACAGGAAAGCATAGAGTCAAGGCCACAGCCGTGGGCTAGAGTGGCAGAATTACCAACCTGGTTCGACTGTAGCAACCTCCCAGCGGCCCAACACCCTCCCCGGCACGGTCGCGCGGCTTCTGGGGAGCGGCGGGGGCGGGGAGACGATTCTTCGGTTCGCAGCCTTTCATTGGTCATCCGTCACAGGGCCCATGCTCACACGAGGGAAATCAGCCAATCAGTGACGCCCTGCCTACCGCGCAATATCACGTTGTCGCTGTCCCTCCTGTGGCATGCTGGGAGTTGTAGTCTATTGTTCTGTCTCTACTCACAGAGAAAGATGGAACAGAACTACTAGGCCCAGATTGCTGAGCGCGGAGCGTGTTCTGCTTTTAGGTGTACCCCGCCAACAATCTGGACCAGCAAGACCCTGCATCCCGGAACAGGTGAGAAAGACTGCGCGCTGGGACTGGAGGTTGAGGTTCGGAATCGGGCCTTACCTCTAGGGGTACTGTAAGGTAGCCCAGCCTGTTGTGTCAGAGTTTTCCGTCGGGGGAGTGGGGCGGTCGGGCCCAACTAAGTGGCCGTTAATGTTTTTGGACACTTCCAAACTTCACCCTTGTACTTTTCCAAAGTCCCCAATATGCTTAGCTCCCACGTTACTCCTGCTGCGAGGACCGCCCCGTGCCCCTCCTCCCCCCCATCCTCCAAGTTATTCTTAGCAGAACACTTGCAAAATCTCAGCGCTTCTGTAAAGACTCAGGATGTCCAGTCCTGGTGCTGCAGACTACATGTCCAGATCGCTCGTGGGCTTTAGTCCCAGTTCTCTGAGGCGAACTTCAGACCCAGGCCAGCCTCTCCACCTCCTACCAGGGGAGGCCTGCGTGCTAGATTGGCTCTCCTTCTGCTCAGCTGCCTTCTGAACCTCCAAGGCCTCAGATTAACGTCTGCATGATGGATTGCTTTAAAAAGGGTCCTTCCAGCCCCTAGTGCTGAGGTGCTTTGCTCTGTATCTCCCCAAACTTTGTGCACACAGACTTGAAGACATAAGGAATTCAGTTTTAACTGCTTCACTTTAAGATCTGTTGGGTGTCAGTAACCCAAATATTCGTTTAGTTCTCTTCATGGGAACTACTTACAAGCTTCATCCACCACAGGGTAGGGCATTCTGGATCAAGTTGGGAGGTGGGTTTTGGTATGATAAGGGGAGCTGCCACCATGCATCCTTTGGTACTTGCCCCTGCAGGGAGTGCTTGATGCCCCCTCCCTATGCCCCTGTCCCGTTGGCTGAGATCTGTGGGGGTCTTCTTGCTGCCAGCCCCCTGCTGGGTACCCCAGGAGAGATGGCTATGTTCCCTACGGAGGCCTTCTCTGGTGCATTGGTACCCAGCCCTGGGGTCCTGGCATGGTGCCCGCTGCTGGTGCCAAGTGTGGACAAATGAGCTTCGGTGAGTGTGGTTGAGGTGAGGGGCCTTGGGGAGGGAAATGTGGGATCAGCCTTTTCATTTGTCTTTCCATTCCTCAGAACATTTTGCTCCTCTCTCAGAATGAATGGAGACCAGAAATCTAATGCTTATGCCCAAGAGAAGCAGGATTTCATCCAGCACTTCTCCCAGATCGTCAAGGTGCTGACTGAGGATGAGATAGGGCACCCAGAGACAGGAGATGCCATTGCCCGGCTGAAGGAGGTAAGAGACTCATGACTTGAGGAAGCCAGTCCTTTTCATTTTGCACAGGTGTGCAATTGAGCTGTGGCTTTGTGGCAACTTTTAACAGGTGAAGACTTTCACTATGTACTTATTCAGCCCATCAACTTGACTTCAGCTCTGTAGAGAGTGGACCATCCAAACTGTTTTGCATGGGAGTGGAGGTCTTGAACCTGGCAAATCTTTTGGTTTTGTATCATTGTAAAATACTACTTTGGCAGGCAAACATCAGAGAAGGAAGTCCAAGATTGTCTTCTTGAGCCCTAAGGAAAAGTTGTTGTTGTTTTTAGCTGTAATGTCACTTCTGGTTTTCTGGGGGTTAATTAGTCTCACAGACTCTTCTGCAGCTGGCTTTGAACCATGATCCTAAGATCGCAGCCTCCTGAGTAGCTAGGATTACAGGTATGAGCCACTGATGCCTGGCTAGAAAGAATTTTTATAGCTAGGTATATATATGGTGACACATTCTGTAAATTCAGAACTCAAGAGGCTGAGGCAAAAAGATCATGAGTTTGAGGCCAGCCTGGGTTACATAGCAAGACCTGGTTTTGTTGTTTTTGTTTAAAAACAACAACAACGCCGGGCGCTGATTGCTCACGCCTGTAATCCTAGCTACTCAGGAGGCTGAGATCTGAGGATCATGGTTCAAAGCCAGTCCGGGCAGGAGAGACCATGAGACTCCTAACTCCAATAAACCACCAGAAAACCGGAAGTGGCGCTGTAGCTCAAGTGGTAGAGCGCTCACCTTGAGCTGAAGAGCTGAGGGACAGCGC